CTGATTCTCAGAAATATTTGTTTCCAATCTCAACCTGTGCTCAATTACTTTCTCCCATAATTTCATTGTGTGGCTCATGAGTTTAATCCCTCTATAGTTAGTACAATTCTAAATATCTCCTTTATTTTTATAAATGGGAATTAATGTACTTCTCCTTCACTCATCAAGTATTTTCTTAGACCGTAAAATCACATTAAATAACTTAGTTAACTATCTCACCCTTCTTCACCTAAACATTTCCATGCTTTGATAAATATATAATCAGGTCCGTTGGCTCTACCATTTGCCATTTTTTTAAGAGCTTCCTTTACCTCCTTATCACATATTATTCGATAGAATGACAAATTTTGTTCTCCTTCACCAGTTACTAAATCCTCCAAGTTACTAGATGAACCCTCTCCATCATTGAAAAATTTAAAAAAGTAAGTCTCCCATCTATTTTTAATTTCATCATCTGTAACTAAAATTCTTCCCTCTTCATCCTTAATACACCTTACCTGTTCTAGATCTCTTGATTTTCTTTCCCTACTCTTAGCAATCTTATAAATGTTTCGTTCTCCTTCCTTCGTCTCAAGGCTTTTATAAAATTCTTGAAAAGCTTTAGAATGAGCTTCACCCACAGTTCTCTTAGTTTCCTTCTTAGTCATACGGTACCTCTCCCAATTTTCCTCAATGTTACACAAATGTATGGTTTTAAAATAGTTCTTCTTATACTTGATTTTGTCTTGTACACTATTATTCCACCACCAAGATTCCTTATCTCTCGGACCAGAACCTTTTGATTCTCCCAAAACTACTTTTGCAACCTCCCGTATCTTTTTAGCTATATCCTCCCACATGATGTTAGCACTTTCATGAGATTTCCAAATTCCTTTATCCAAAATATTTTGCTTGAAAATATCTTGCTTCTTACCTTTTAATTGCCACCATCTAATCTTGGTGTTACTACTTGTCGACGTTTTTAAATTTTACTCATAATACACACATCAAAGACTAGGATCCTATGTTGTATCGTTACAGCATCTCTGAGGATCACCTTGTAATTTTTACAAAGTCTTCTATCTATGTTCCTAACCAAAAGAAAATCAATATGTGACCTTGGGGCTCCACTTTTGTAAGTGATGAGATGCTCATCTCTCTTCTTGAAACAAGTGTTGGCAATCTTAAAATCATACGCCAATGAGAAATCAAGAAGAGTTTATCCTTCATTGTTTAGCTCTCCAAAACTAAAACCACCATGCACCCTCGCATAGTGACTAGCCTCCCTCCCGACATGCCCATTAAAGTCTCCTCTAATAAAAATCTTTTCACTCTGTGATATGTGTCGAATTAACCCCTCCAGATCCTCCCAAAATAATTCCTTAAGACTGGCTTCTGTCCCAACTTACGGCGTGTAAGCGCTAACAATATTAACAGTCTCACGTCCAATTATCATTTTTAAGGAAATAATTCTGTCTCCAATTCTGCTAACTTCTACAACGTTCTTCTTCCACTCCTTATCCATAATGATGCCTACTCCATTGCGTGCGCTTACTTTTCTTGTATACTAAAGTTTGAAACCTTGAATATCCTTAGCTTCTTCTCTATGCCATTTTGTTTCTTGCAGGCAAAGGATATTAATTTTTCTTTGAATCATAACCCCTTCAACCTCTACAGATTTACAATTCAATGTCCCAACATTCCAAGTACTAAATCTAAGTTTGCTCTCATGGACTAACCTCATTAGTCGTGCATGTCTAGAATGACGCGGTAGCCCTTGCTCATTTAACACTACATCCGAGTGCCGATGCAATAGCTCTAACTCACTTATCACTGTACTCGAGCTATGCAGCGCGTTACTTATGGGCAACGACCTAGCATTAACATTATAACGTCTATTGTCCATGTTCATGATAGATTTAATAAAGTTTTACATTGACTGTTGATGGCCTAACACAACCCTCCTCCTTTACCCGAGCTTGAGACCGGCTATAAATATAGGCGGAGTTATAAATATAGGCAGAGTTATAATATCACATATAACTTATAAAAAAATGATATTGCCAAGTAAGTTTAGTAACAAACAGAGAATATTCAAGAAATATAATATTCAAAAATCCTGTAAAAGAATAGGAAAGTTAGGCAGTGGTGTTCCTATTAAGCCAAGGAAAAACAATATCAATAGAAAATAAAACTTGTAGAAATAGAAATATGAGATGGTTCAATAATATATTAGGATCTAAGTCAAAAAAAAAAGAATAAGATGAGTCTTAAGAGTCTTAATCTATAGCCAAATAGGAATAGTGAACCTAAAAGAAAAGTAGAAGAAGTAGAAATAAAAAAATACATTATAAAAGAATTGAAGAACAAATAGAAATCTAAAAAATAAAAAATAGAATAAATTAAATAAGAGAAAAATTTAAAAGAGATATTTGTGCAGAATATCTAATTTTTTTTTGAAATAGAAAAAGACACAAGAAATCACGGGTGAAAAACAAATATGACAAAAGAAGAAAAAGAAAAAGCAAAAGAAAAATAAGAGTTGAATCTTGTCAAAAAATAATTTAAGCAAAAAAAAAAGGTAATTAAGTGAAGCAAATCAAAAGAGCTAATTTAACCATGATTTTTCTAAACTTCTATAAAATTAGAAGACTTTTGATTTTACAAGCATTGAGTTAAATGGCCCCTTCTCTATCTCTTAATATAAACCTCTCTCCACTTGTAATATTACAAGATATGTATGTGTATCTATGCATACATGCATACATACATACAACTTGGTTAAATAAATGGAAATGAAAATAAATTAAAATTTAAATAAAAAGAACATCATGAAATTGATAAAATAAAAATATATTTTTTCCTATAAAAAATACTTTAATCTAATTTTGAAAATGCAAAAAAATGTTGACAATCAACGGCGACACTAAAAAGTCACTGCTGAAACTTGCAACATAATTTTTTTAAAAGAAATTAAAAAATGTTGACAATCAGCAACGATACTAAAAAGTCACTACTGAAAGTCGATTTCAGCGACGACTTGTATGTCACCACTGAAACTTGCAACATAATTTTTTTAAAACAAATAAAAAATACTGACAATCAGCAGCGACACTAAAAAGTTACCACCGATTCTCAACTTTCAGCGGCGACAGTAAAAATTGCTGCTGAAAGTCTAACAATCAGCGGCGACTATATCTTGTCACCGCTGAAAGTGTGACTTTTAGCGGTGACTTTTAGTGTCGCCGCTGAAAGTGTAACTTTCAGCCGCCACTTTTTAGTGTCGCTGCTTAAAGTCATTTTTTTTGTAATGTATGTATTTGATATTGATTGTTTGTTCAGCTAATTTTAAGATTTCTTTAGCTATATGTGTGATTGTCCTTTGATACTCTAAAATGCTACGAACTCATTTGCTTAAGTTGTAGCTTGATTTATTAATTTTATTTTGTAATTACTGAATGTTTTATGTTTCAATTCTAGTTTTGCTTTGATTTACTAAGTTATTGGCCAATGTCAAGTAATATTTAGGGGGGAAAGAATAAACTTGGGAGAGGAATTTTTGTTGAATCATTAGAATTTATAGCTTAGAATTAACTTATTGCCTTTTGGATAGGAGTGTACCTAATAACCCTTCATTTTGAATGAGGAAAAAAATGAAGAGGAAAGAAAACTAAGAGGGAAAGCACTTAAAAATAATAAAAAAATTACTCTTTTTGAAAATATCTCTTCCTAGTTTTCTCTCCTCATTTTCTTCATACTTTTTCCTTCATCCAAACCAAGCCTAATGGACTTAAGTGGTTAGAAAGGGGTTGAACTTAATGCATTTTGGCAAGGAATTTTATGTTGAGTTAGAATTGAGTAAGATTTTGAGTAATTGAAAAATATTTAAGATTAATTCAAGCAAAGTGTGTCCCAATTCTTACAAATGGAAATTAAAATCAATTTAATTGGTAAGTTAAGTGTAATAAAGCAAATGAGAGATTAAAACTTTAGGGTGCTTTCTTTATTGTTTTTTCGAACTTAGAGTGCTTTATAAGCTTAGTTGCCTAATTTTATTTCTTTACTTTTAATTTGAAACATCTATCACTACATTTTGCTTGCTTAACTTAATTGAAAATTGAAATTTAATGTGTATTTTTATTTAACTTAATTCTTTATGAGAATGACTTAGGTTTACCATTAATTATATTTACTACCCATACATTTGTGGTGTCTATTAATTTTGGTTTGCGTCGTCTTGGAGTAAAATATATGTGCTAGAGGAGGTGATGGTGAAAACACCCAACCTCCAACTCCCTTGAAGCCAAACCTGCCAGGAAATTAATTAGCAGGGATTCTCATCCCAATGGACGAGAAAAACAGATAGAATTCAAAGACTCTAGCTTGTACCAAACATCTTTAACCATGGAATGATACCTCCAAAATAGATAGAATTCAATGACTCTCCACCACCCGAGGCTTCTTGTTTCCACAGGATCGAGTCCAAATATTGGCCCACAATGCGTAATGGCAAATTAATGTGTTGGGGTTCATCTTATTTCTCTAGGCTTTAACCTTAAAATTGACATATCTGATCAGTACACCTTACCATCTGCTAGCACCTGCAAATAACCAAGCAACGAAGAGAAGTATTGTGCCCAAAACACACGGTCATTCCTTGAACTCGTAATATATGCAATCACGAAAAATGTGTTCCTCAATATGTGTATCATCAAAATGCTTGGTTTTGATATGAACATAACAGTGTTTTTATTGTGATGGAAATATTTTCCAGCTTATTAATTAGTTGGATACGGCATAAATCCATCATTAAGTTGCTGTGAATTTTCAAATCCTCTTCCCAAAACGTAAAATTTCTAATTTTTTTTGGAGTCATATTCTATTGTGAAGAAGCACCAGAAATGCCCAGAGACTACACAGATCACTCAAGAATGCAGAAGTTGGAGTACCACATCGGGACAAAGTAAAGTTGGGGAGAGGACGAGAGAGTATATAAGGAAGGGAAGGAGTACAATTCAGACATACTTACCTGGACGGGGTCAATGGGTGATCATAAAGGTCCATGGCCTAGGCCTGGGGCTTCCATTGCACTTTGGAGGAGTCCATGCTTAAGGTCTACCTAATTGGTGGAGCCTACGTCATAATTTGTGGCAGTGGGGGCCTGCGTTCGCGCGGCCCCTATCCAATTCTAAGCCCAAAGTTAAATATTATGGTTGAAGCTCAATAACAATGTTTTGGGCCTATTGGCAAGTTAAAATGTATTGGGCCAACTGCCCACTTTTTTGAAAAAAAAATAGCTTTAATTATGTATTGGGCTCAGAGCCTAGTTAAAATGTCATGGGAGAACAGGTCCTGTTTGTCTGCTTGCTTTCGGCTTTTGCTTAGTTGGCCCAAATTATTTTGGCCTTTCTTTCTTATATTCGTCTTGAAAAAGGTTAATTTTTTTAAACAGAAAAAAACGGGTTAAACTTGAAATTAACATTCATTAGTTTTAACTACTTTAATTTCAACATATTTTCTTATACTTGGAAGGTGGTTAAAAAAAATCCTGATAAATGGCCTTGGATTTGGATGGGATAGAGTTTGGCCTTTTCAGTCTCATTATCACCAATAAAACATCAAGACAAGCCATTGAAACATATAACAAAATTTACGTAAGTGTAACAACTTTGAATTAATAGTTAAAACCTCACAACCATAACACACCTTCGCTATTAATTCAACAAAGTTACGTCCTCTACATTATGCCAAATCAAGCCACATTTATAGCAAAACGAATGCATTTGTGGAATCCCCCAGCCAAATAAGTGTGAAGGTCGTGATACTCATCAAGTACCTAAAACCAAAGAATTAGAAGATGAAAAGTAATTCAGAAAAAGGTAGCAATTGGGCATGTTGTTGGCTTTTAGGGCGTCGTTATGGGACTCTAGTGTCGAAGTAGAGTTGGAGATATGCTTTGCTTTGGATGAGAGAAGATGCAGATGATGGAATGCATGTTTACACTATACATTTAAAAATAGCAAACCTTTGTTCACAAATAAGAAAAAAAAATAGCAATTAAAGCTGAAAAGGATGTTCACAGACCATGTCCATGGCTGATGTATGCAGCATTATGCCTATTTTATCTCATATTATCAGTCTTCACAAATGCTTCACTATGTGTGTGACAACAATAATAGTGAGTTTGGATTGGCATATATTCAATGTGACAAAAGAAATTTCCATTTTTTTTAAAATTCTCATATTTAACACTTTCATTTATGCAATGGTTCAAGCAAAATGGTAATTGAAGCTCAAAATTTAAAATTTTATTATTGATACTTTTTAAATACGTATTCATAAAGTATCATAATATTATTTTTAATTTAAAAATTTATAATTTTCAACACATATTCAACACTTCTAGATTGCAATTTGATATTTCAAATTCAATATTTCAAGAAAATTTTTAAGAAATTAAATTTTATCAAAGATTGTAATATTAAACTTTTTATTACTAAAATCTTTTTTTATCTGCTTTTAAAGTCATAGTTTTAACTTAAAAAAAAAAGTTTTAGATGTAATAGAAGAATAAAGATTACATTTTTCTTAATTACAAAAACATGAGAATGTAATCTTATGATATATAAAGTTATAAAACTTAAGCAAGTTGCAAATAGAACCTAATATAGAAGCTATTTTAGATGATAGTCAAGGAGAAAAAGATATTAATATTATACATGATAGTCGAAATAGGTGGTAGCAAGGTTGTTAAACTCATGATAGAAATGTAAACTTGAATCGCAAACTTAAATCATAAACTCATAAAAGTTTACCTCTATTAATAAATAACTATTAAAAATTTATTATTAAATAATTAAAATATAAAATATGATCATAATTTAATTTAAATATATTTAAAATATAAATCATTGAAACTAAACACATCTATATTGATAAATTATCAAACAAAACATAGAAATTTTAAAATAGAGAACTTATTTTTGGTATTTTTTATTAATATAGTTCTATAATTTTTATGAACCAAATTCTTTATAATATATACTTAACTTACTCAACTAAAAAAAAAAAAATCAATGAGCTTAACAAGTTTAACGAGGTTACATCTAGTTCAAATTTATGAATTAGTTGACAAGATTTTGTAAGTTAAAAATAAAAGCAATAAACTTGAAGGTAAACTTGTAAGTTTAATTGAGTTTGTATCTAGAGTTGGCAAGATTTTGTAGACTAAAAATGGAAAAATGTTAAACTTAAAAAATTAACTTGAAAGTTTGACAACTGTGGGCAGTAAAAAATTAGTTATAGATACAATAAAAGTATAATTAAAATTATGTTTTGATTGGCATTACACTGTTACTATAAAGAATTATATATGTATGCTAGTTTTTGTTAAAAAAAAATATGTGTAAGTTAATTTGGATATTTTTTAAATTGGAATTATATTAACAACTTTTAAATTTATATATATATATATATATATTATATTGGACGGGCATAGATTGTATACATAAATTAAACATGATACAAGCCACTAATTCTCTTACTATTTTTCTTACTATTTCCTTACTTATTTTAAAGAGGGATTGTCAATCTCTCATTATTTTTCTTACTAATTCTCTTATTTTAGAGAGAGATTGATAGTTTTTCATTATTTTTCTCGTAATTCTCTTATTTTAGAGAGGAATTGACAGTTCCTAGCTAATTTTCTTGCTAATTTTAAATCAAACTACGAAATCAATATTCCTTACTAATTTAGTATTTTAAAGAGGAATAAACAATTTTTTATTAAATTCTCTCACTAATTTGTATTTTTCTACTAGTGACTATCTGGAAACACAGGTGTGCAAAGTCTTTTGAAGGTAAATCTTTAGATCCTGAAAAGGTCATTCGCAATGCTGAAGGCTCCTCGCGTGAGTATTGGTCTATTAATGGTTGGTTTGACGAGATACAAACTCCTCCAACCAGCATCACTGACCCTGCAAGGAATGAAAATTAGAGGCCCCCTGATTTATCTTATCTAAAATGCAATGTAGATGCAGCTTTTCATCAATCTGTGAATTTGGCAGGAGCTGGTATAATCTTCAGAGATCATTATGGCTCAGTAGTGTCCCTTCATGGAGATTCTTTCAAAGCTACTTCAAGCTTCATGGCAGAAACACTCACACTCTTACAAGCCCTTAAATTCGCGTCACATCACTCCATTTCCAACCTGTCTGTGGAGTCTGATTGTAAGCCTTTAGTGGATGCCATCAATTTTGGTTGCCAATGTCCTGAATGGAATTGCTCTATCTTTATTGCAGATATTCAAACCTTCTCTCGGCTAATAATCAGTGGTCCCCGAGTTGGATCCCTCGCTCAGCGAATTTGGCCACTGACTAGGTGGCCAAAGCTTGTTACAAGGGGGTGTGGCCCATCGGTTGGGATTTTAATCCCCCTCCCCCCTTTTCTTAAGTTGTTATTAGTTGATGCTAAACATTGTCTTAGTGATGTAACTCTTTCTCATTTGTAATACATCCTTTTCGTCCAAAAATAAAAGTAGTGTTAAAATTTTGTTCAATGTTCTTAGCCCAAAAACCAATTTTTTTGGGCTTTGGCTCAAAATTTTATTTTCGTGAGCTCCAACCTTCTAAGTTTATCTTTCGTTCAAATATCAAAACATGGTTTTATTAAGCTCATTGCATTACTACGATCTCTACATTCAGTCTTTGCGACATAATTAATTATTTCCCTTTTTGCTAAGTAAGCAAAAAAAAAATTAATTTGAGCAATTAAATAGTGAGTAAGTATTTATTTAATAGTGTTGCAATAGTTGATAATAGTCAATCATCGATCAATTGTTTGTGCTGTGAAATTGCTTGTAGCTAGGCGCTAATTCATATTTATTGATGACAGCAACAATTATTGATTTAAGTAATTTGTTCCAACAAAAAATATAAATTAATTCGTGCAGTTGCATGGAATTTAAATCTGAAAATAATACAAACTTTGAAAATTTAAATTAATTAATCAAAAATTAATTTACAATAATATCAACATAAATTAATAGTAATAAAACAATAACACTTGCATATTTTATTTTTATATAATATATTAATCATCATTTGCCATTGAAATTGTCTAATGAAGTCAAATAAATGCATATTGTTGCTATGAACTTTTTGTGTCTCTTTATTTTCTCAATGCTCTTGTTCCTGAAAATCTAAGATACTATTTGATAATGAAATCGTGTGATTTGCACTTATGATGCGTTTGGACCAATGAAAATTTGAATTTAAATTTGATCAAAATCTCTTGTTTGAATACACAAAAATTTATAATTTGAATTAGTTTCAAATCCTAATCAATTTCTTATTACAATTTTTTTTAATTTTAAATTCTCTTTATACCCTGATTATTTGAAATTTTAGTCAGTTCAGTTAACCCAAACCCAAACACTACCCAATTTTAGTCAGTTCAGTTAACCCAAACACTTCCTTTCGTGACAAAAAATGTTTAATTTATCTATTATCTGAGAAAAATTTATGTTACGCCTTGAGCTAAATTAAGTTTGTTATTTCAATAATCAATGCCATTTGTGTTTTACTGTACCCAAAAAAAAAAAAAACGATTGTTTTAGTTTCCGTTTTTTAGGGGAGAACGCTGGTAGGAAAGTTCTAAAGGGTATTATTTACAATAAGGTCCCAATTTTTTTTTTTGACTGAACCAATATTTTTAGTTTCCTTCTTAATCAGTTATAAACAAGAATCTTAATTACAAACTAAAAGTTACATTTAGAATTTAAATACCTTATCTGTAATTGAAACCCTTGAAAATTTACGATTTTTTGAATCGTGATTTGTAACTTATTTTTCAGAATTTTTTTGATAACTTAATTGTCATTCTTAAAAAAAATAAATAATAGGGGGCCACTACAGTGAGGACCACGAATGATAAGACCTAATAAACTTGGACAGAGGACACAAAGCCTTCTACTGGTTTTAGCAATAGCAAAATCAAAATAAATTTTCAGAGTATCAAATAGAAATGGATGTTATTCAAATATTAACTCATAGAAGCATCCCTTCCATGCAGGTCGTCATTAAGCCTTCTACTGGTTTTAGCATTAAGCTCTGTTATTATTATTTCATGTTTTTATTTGGTATTTAGTTCAGGTTCTTATCAAAAAAAGGGGCCCAAAAAACC